AAAAAAAAAAACACCAGGGAAACTACATAGCAACAGAAAGGCAGAAACCACAGCTACAGGTCACAGTGAGTGGGGGGGGGTTGCTAATTATTTTAAGAGAACAATAGGCGGGATCTTTGTAGTATTGGGAGTATTAAAGGTCTTCTAAAAACATATTACAACTGTGTGTAACTGCACACACCGTGGTGCCTGCTCCATGTGGCGGTCAGAGAACAACTCTGGAGCCATTCTCTCCTTCCACTTTCATGTGGGTTCCAGACATCAACCTTAGGTCATCAGGCTTAGATGGCAAACACCTTTACTCACTGATTCACCTCACCTGCCCAGAAATAGGAAATATATTGACTACAGCGATGGATTAAAACAACATGCAGTTTTGGGGTACCGCTCAGTGATAGAGTGCTTGCCTGGCATGCATGAGGATCTAGGTTCCCTCATCAGTACCACAAGTAAAAAAAAACTATACATAATGAATGCTACAGAATGAAATACAAACATACAAGCAGGACCCTGAGTAAGATCTGCTGGTGATGACAATGTCATTATTCTAACTGTAGTATTTTATCATCACTGAGGGAAACCAACAGAGTACTATTGGGCTGTGTTTGCTTTATGACACTTGTTTATGTGCCTGGAGGGGGTTGTACACGTGCTGCATTGTGCATATGGAGGTCAGAGGACCACTTGTGAGAACTAGTTCTTTCCTTCCACCATGGGAGTCCTGGGGCTCAAACTCAGGTTGTCAAGCTTAGTGGCAAGCTTTCTTGTCATTGTTTTCTCCCACCCACCCCATCTTCTGTTTTGAGATGGTCTCAATATACAAGTCATATGTATCTCTCAGACTAGCCTCCCATCTCAACCTCCTGAGTGCTGGTATTACAGGTGTGACCACAACAGGCTAGATTAGCTTCTTGATAACATAATTTTACTGCATGGCAATTAAAAAATGAGCTCAAGCAAAGTTTTGTTATCATGAGCACCTGCTTACCCTTCCTATTTTCAGAGCCTTTCTTGGCCTAACTGGCAGGATTTGGGGAAGAAAGTCCTGAAACTGAGTAACTAGCACAGCTTTTCATGAATACTTGTGAAGTTAAAGATTAACATCTTGCATTTTCAGTGCAGTAGGCTACCTACCCATCAGATGGCTTTCCTTGTAAAGCATAAATCAAAAGCTAGTAGTCTTTATTGACAGATTATGGGAAGCTAGTTACAACCTGAATTTCTTACAGACAACTGCTATCACAGCGAGCATCGGTCCCTGAATATCAAGCGTAATTCTATTGTTATTTACTCTTATCTGAGCATCAGAAAAGATATTGTGAAGCATCATACATTCTACATATCACTTCCTTCAGATGTGGGGAGTCCAATTTCTAAAGTATGGGATGAAGATAAAGACTAGGAAAATCAGGTGACACAATTTAAAAACACTTATTCATTACTTTAAAAAAATTATGTTATGTGTATGGGTGCTTTGCCTACATATATGTCTGTGTACCATGTGTGTGCCTGGTGTCCATAAGGGCCAGAGAGGGTATCCAATCCCCTGGAACTGGAGTTATAGATAGTTTGTGAGATGCCATTTGGGTGCTAGGAACTGAACCGAAGTCCTCTGAAAGAGCAGACAGTGCTCTTAACCACTGATCCATCTATCTAGTCCGAAGTCCACAGCTTTTTAAAAACACTAATCTCACATTTGCAAAAACTAGTGGTACAACCAAGCCACTGGCCTTGGGTCCAGTCATAATTCTCTCGGTCTTCAACAGAGCCTGACTCTGAATATGCAGTATAACTGAAAATGGTGCACATGCCATATGATGCACATGAAGGATATACCTAGGGCTCCCTCCATTCATATTCACTTGTCTCTCAAGTTTCTTCCAGCTTCGGTAATTATTGTTCCTATTTATTGCTCCCTATTCATTACAACTGCTACAGAATTCACCATCTCCTAGAGGCTATAAAAATAAACCCTTGCGTAGGTTGCCAACACAGCCAGATTCTGTCCTTTATTAGGAAGTCATAATACAAAAGAAGCCCAGCAAGCTTAAATAAGAATGGAAAGACCATCATGTTATCTAATGCTTGACTAGTCAAAATACAAAGCAAAAATTTTAGTCTTGTTTAAGATCACTAGAATTCTATTTCTAGTCCTAAAATTATCCG